CCACTTATAAATTACTTACTGTTACTATATTGTTGGTATACTTAAATTAAGATTTCCTATTATAAAAAGACCCTAACATTGCTTATGCGTAAGATGACTTAGTTGTTCATACGATTTAAATAATACTCGCCAAGGTCCAATAGGTGTGTTTTGCGGCTTATGTGTTGCAATGTTACATAGACAAGTATACAATATGTATAAGTGTATGAAAAACATCAATGTAAAACCTAATTAAAACAATTTAATACCTACCTAATCTAGAAACTTATTCGCTGTTCTGATCTTGCAAAAATAACCATCCACTGAATTTAATTGTATTAAAAGGTAATTAAAACCACAATGGCCTCTGATTGTTTACGTCAATCAATCATTAACACAATAAAAATAACAAAGTCATCTAGGGAAATTGTTTTTCTCACTTCGAGATTTGAATGTAGCGAAAAAAAAAAATAAACATTGATGGAAAAAATTCGTGGATCCGTTTTAATTCCGACGCGGTCGCGTTATGCAAGTATTTGTAACAAACTTACTGTTTTGTTTGTGATGATGTCAGTAGACCGGTAAAAACGGAGTGGAGTGACAGACAGCCTCCTTCGCGCACCTGCCGCCGCAGACTGAGCACCGTGTGCGCAGCTTCGCCGACAGATAAGCGACTTAGCTTGGACCGCACTACGGTTTTTTCCCAAGAGAGGTTAACCGCGTTGCCGCTGGAAGCGCACGCGCTACGACTAAAAACTTCGATACACTAGTGATTTTCAACCCTAAGTTTCATATGAATTACAGGAGCTTTAGTTTCGATGCTTGTTTTTTTACCTACGTTTTTTTCTGTTTCGTAACCCATAACGAAAGGCTAACTATTTAATGTTAAACATAATGGCCTAGGTCTTAAGGAAGATCTAAACGTTAGGTTTAGCACAATTAATTAGCCCTGTGTTCCGGCCTAGTCCATGTTATAATTTCAAGAATGTTGAGTAATTTTTTACTACCGACATGATAAATTGGCCCGTGGAGAAAATTATGTAAAATCTAGAAATATTACTAGAAACATTGCAGTACTTCTGTATTGTCAATGAACATATTTAATTTAAAACATCCTACTAAGTAAGCATCCGAGTTTAATAATTAACACTGCTTCAGAGAGGGCGAGACTTCAGGCACAGACGCTCACAAAATATTTAATACTAGCTACTTCCGCGCGGTTTCACTCGCTCTACTCGGCGCCTGTTAATCGTAAACGTGATATTTTATAGCCTATAGCCTTCCTCGATAAATGGGTTATCCAACACTGAAATAATTTTTCAAATCGAAGTACCTAGTAGTTTCGGAGATTAGCACGTTCAAACAAACAAACGAAAGAACAAAATCTTCAACTTTATATTTTTAAGGGGGGAAAATCATCGAATGACTGCTCCCGCCTGGGTGAGGCAGGAGGGAGTGTCAGACTCTTACTGACTAAAAACCACCCCGTTCCTTCTCCTGCACGTCGAGCCGGAGCCCCGGTTACCCGTTAGATTCTCCGCGACTAGTATAGAAGTATACATTATATGAACGCCTAACTTGTTCCCAAGATCAAATGCGCTATTTATACAGATTTCCGGAGATGTATTTTAGGTAGGTACCTAAATAATACCCATTCTCTTCCTAACTCCTCGAGTGACCACAAACTGAAACACGATTGCTGAGCCTGAGTTCTAGATCAGATAAAGTAAGTAGGTATCATTCGAAGAGTTCTTTCAGTGTTCTAAAATTTTCATTATTAACTCGGAGTCTGGAATTGTATAATTATGATAAAATATTACCCCCTATTACACGGGATTCATAACATTAATGGTTCATAACATATCTGAGTTGTCAGTAGTTAGAATTCTCGCATTCGGTGTGCTGGGCTAAAATCGTACGCATTAGCCCTTATTAACGTACATGGATGACCTTAATAAAGATGGAACACACAGTCACAAAAAATCGTGTAGCCCAATGCTTTTGCGGTCGGTGCGCGTGCGCCTCTCGAGACACCGCGACCGTCACGCGTATATTCATAGGCCCATACAACGGGAGCGTATGCTAATATTGAACTAAAACGTGTTAATAGTTCCAAAGAAGCATGTAAAAGTGAAATACCGTGACGCCACCGATCACACACAGTACACAAACGTTTTTTCTGTAAATAATAAAGTAAAAAAATTACTGGACAGTATTTTTACTTTATTTTCTACTAAATTAGTAAGTGTGGGAGAGCCATACTTCGACATGAATGGGCCGGCTCAACCGTGGTGATACCACGGCCTCACAGAAGACCGAGGTGAAACAACGTCGTGTGACTGAGGTTACCGGAGGCCCAATTACCCCCCCCCCCCCTCCCCAATCTCTGAATCCTCAACAATCCTCAAATTCCTAATCCAGAAGGCCGGTAACGCACTTGTAATGCCTCCGGTGTTCCAGGTGTCCATGGGCGACGCCGATTGCTTACCATCAGGTATCCCATAAAAAAAGTAAAGTCCCTTTTCATTTTTCTTATTTTGCTCATTAAAAATTCTTATAGATTTTACTTATTAATTTCTTGAGTTGTAAGTGCAATAAGTGATGTCATCTGAAACGAAGTGCATGCATTTTCAACACGTTCCACCAATATTGCTTTATTGAGTAATAAATTAGTTATTACCTCTAAAAAATATGGACGTTTTTATTCAAATAATTCACTATTTTATTTTAAGCTAGTTACATAAGAAGCAAATGTTCTAACGGCTAATTAAATATTGGAATTTAAAAGAAGATTTTATGACTGACTTCCTATTGTGTAAGTAATTGATTTTTTTGTGTCAACAGGATTTACATGATTTAGTCTAGTTATGTAATTTTAGGTTATTTCAAAAATCCATCCCGTATAAAAACGTAAAATCCAGCTGACAACCAAATGTACTTAAACACTACCTACTTACGAAGTTTATTATAAAGGAACCCTATATCTATTGTCGCGGAGAACCAGTTACCGGGGCTCCGGCTCAATGTGCAGTAGTAGGAACGGGGTGGTTTTTAGTCAGTAAGAGTCTGACACTCCCTCCCGCCTCATCCAGGCGGGAGAAGTCATTCGATAATTTTCCCCCCTTAAAAAAACCCTATATCTATTAAATAAAAACAAGTTTATAAAGAAACCCAATTTGTCGTATGCTCAATTTTAAATGATTTGAATGCATGGTAAGTCATTATTCAGTTTATGTACTCAGTATGCATTCAAAAAAATTGGGCAAACGGCCCTTAATCATGGTGACTTGGACTCATAAACCGTCTTGCGTAAATTATAACTTGTCTGTGATAAATACCGTATAACCTTGTAATGCGTTGTAAGTACTTTGAATAGACAGCACCATTTATGAACTATGTAATTATGTATTAGTATTTACTCGAGACTAAAGGTTTCCTATAGACCATCTCTATCAAATTAAAATAAGTCCCTAAAATGTATGTTTTTTTAGTGGGGAAAATCATCCAATGATTTTTCCCGCCCGGGTGAGGCGAGATCCTTCTCGCCTCTGTGTCAGACTCTTACTGACTAAAAACCACCCCGTTCCTACTCCTGCACTTCGAGCCGGAGCCCCGGCAACCCGTTATGTCCTCCGCGGCTGTTGGGCCCCATCTGTGGTGGTCTGGTGGATATTATTACGGTAGGGTTTTTATACAACTTCTTTTATATTTTCGAGTAATTCTCCAGAAACATCGGTAAATTTACGGTACTATGTGAAGCAGCGGCGGACTATACCTATGTATAATTTATTATGTAGGTATATCTTTACCAATAACGGGACCACAGGATCCTGGTCATTCGGGAGGCATACAAGGAGCCGAAGCCAACTGCGCAGTGGTCCTTTAGACAAGTTTAATCTAAATGAAATGGGACACAAACCGGCGACTATCACTGTATGCACTATGGAAATGCACCCAAGGACACGCTGGTTAGTGTTAAACTATTGTAGATAATGGAAAAATGGTAGGTCTGTGGATGGTATAATAATAATTATTATTATAGTACTTAGTTACTTACTCTAAAGGTGAATTACGACAAAAACCGCATCAAGACATTCATAAACCTTATAATGTATGTACAAAGGTGTGACTAGCGTAATATTAAGTAATATTAATATACATATGCGTTTTGTTTACATATTTAAGTGGGCAAGCAATGTTTACTTAGGCTCTCAAGTTTGTGTAATCCACCAAAAATGTTCAGCTTATAAGGACATTACTCTGAACCAGTCTTATGAATATTTAAGCCAGCTTAGTTGCACCAATATAGCCCTCACATTTTTAAAGAAATAAAAATGTCTTAAGATATAGAGAATACAATTGTATTTTATTTATATGTAACAGTACAATAAAGTATATTGTTAAGGTTTCATAAACAGTGGAGTTGATTAAAAGGTTATAAAGCTAAGGATACAATGTCTTTTATTTAGAGAGAGGTCTCATCCACAGCTTCTTATTTAATGATTTTGGGTTTATAAATAAAGCAAAATGACTTTGCGGACTACGGTTAATATATAGTTTAAGATAACACTGTAAACATTGATTAACATAAATACTATAGTGATAGTTACCAATGATAACAAATAGGTAAAGAAAATCGCAAGCAGAGCATAAGTGGCGCGATAGCGATTGTGGATGTATTATTAAAGGCATGAACAATTTTTATATACTATGACGATTTATCTGACACATATGGACCTGCCATTTTGAAATTGGTCCCATAAGTACAATAAGTATAAACATATTCACTAAAAATAGACAATGATAAATCAATCCATTACCAGACCATAGGTAAGTATCAAGAAAGGAGAAGACAAGGATATTGTACATTGCTTCCTCTTGATGCAACTAAGCCTTAATAACTAGGTAAGAAAGTTTAAATTCGCATTTTATATTTTATACATGACAATTATTAAGTTATTTGGAGATAGTTCAGACGTCATGCTGATTTGGAGGACGAACAGCCCATCATGGATTGCTTGTTAAACTCTTAGATTCATGTCGCCAAGCCGATGAACCGGCCACATGCACTCGCAGCCAGCAGGAATCACCATGGTACTCGTCTCCCAACAGTCACTGAAATTATAAAACAATCGGACATGATAATATATATTAAATAGATACATCTAATATATGATAACATGTTATGCAATAATATTAGCACCAAGTAGACAGTAATGCTATAATGAAGAAGATCACCTAGCATTATCTTTCCTAAATTTACAATAATTCTCCTCGAACCAGTTGGAGAACATCAGAAGTTAGCGCGAACCTTTTAAGTGAAGTTATCGTTTTTGGATATGAAGTATTCAAAATCGGATTCAGTTACTTGTTTTATGAGTGGTTTATAAGTATAGGACGACGATGATCAGATGAGGCAAACCAACCGCCAATGTATTTAGTAATATTATTCATTGGTGTGCGTGTAATATGACTACATAACATACAAATCATACAATTTAGTATAAAACGTCCTATACTACAGCAATCTTAATTTTTACCTAAGTAGGTACGCGTGTATATAAAAATCTTGGCAAACAAAAGTACCTACATAAGTGTACAAAAATGTATTTAATTTGAAAATGTTGTAAATCTCGTCTGTTTGCGATAATAATCAGGGATTTTCAGAATTATAATTGTATTTATTTAGCCTCTGTCATGATTTTAATTGTAAATAACAATAATTGGTCTTTAAGTATCTTTTATTCACATTGAGTAGGTAGGTAGAAGTCGTCCAATGACTCTTCCTTTCTAAGGTAAGGCGAGGGAGTGTTACTCTTACTGCTTAAAAACCACCCCGTCCCTACTCCTACTCTTGGAGCTAGAGCCCTGGTTAAGTGTTAAGTTTTCCGAAGCTCCATATCGGGCCTCAGCCCTACCAGGCCCATTTTGTGGTAGTGTGGTAGTCTGATGACTCTTTGACGCGCAGAATACGACGCGCCGTACGCTCGGTTTTGAGGGCCTAGTACTTTTTTTTGTTTTGGTCTTAATGCAATCGTTACCGCGATTATCTCTCTGATTGGCTCGTTTATTGGAGCAAGCCAATCAGAGCGCTGAAAGCGGTAACGTTTCGATCTTGTTAAACATAGAACAAAGTCGTATTAACCTGACTGGTCGGGCAGTGAGCTGAGCGAAGACCCATGAACAAAGAAGTGAGACTTAGTAAGTACGTAATAAGCTGTGAGAACTTCATGTAAAACGAAATAAAATAATTTGATTTTAATAAAACAATGGGTGGTTTAACATTTTCAGGATTTTCCCAAGTTATTCTTGGATATGTTTTTACGAACTTTATCTTTTACAATAATTATATTACATTATACAATTGTACTTTTTTACAAAATCTCGTCTCGTCTTTCTTTATTAATTCGTACAAATTTTTAAAAGCTCAAGGATTAAAAAACATTGTCAATAGTTATAAATTTGCTATCTATTATAGATACCTACTTTATTAAAAATATTATATTTAGGGTCCATTTTTCAATCAGCGGTTAATTTTCAACTGTAGAATCGAATTAGTATGGAAGAAATGTCAAATATTCAAAGTTATTCCTCATTTAAAATTTATCTGGCGTTGGAAAAATCGGCCCTTAATTTTATTATATTTTACGTGGTTTACTGTACATACATGAGTAACGATCGACACCTAAGTATACCATATAATTTTTATTAAGTTGGTATTGGTTTCAATAGATGGCACTACTGGTCTCGTATTTAGTTTTGTAGCATCTTACATACAGTACACAGTATGTATCCATCCGAAAGTACATCATACATATTAAAATAATAAGTATCTTGCCTAACTACTTATCTATCGAAAAACGTACCTAGCAAAGAATTTGATAGGTATCTAATTTATTCACCTGAGTTTACTCGTAATCCATTTCTGGATCAAACCCTGGGGTGTGACAGAAACTCCATAGAATAAATAAGTCCAATGATTTAGGATTGGTTAACATTGTTTATGATGATTTAAAATTGTTTAATTTTAGACAGATACATCAGCGTCGCACATTCTAATATTTTTTTCTACACAACATCAAAATCAGGCGGGGCAGAGTAACAATTGTTATTGTTTACCTCTGAATAAGTATTTGAAACTCATCATTAGTCTTGTAACTAATAATTTTTTATACTTAGCTAGGCTGAAGTTTCTAGATAGACGTACTATGTATAAGAATTAAAATAAATGTCAAAGGTTCTTTTTTACTACAATTACCTAATCAATTGGGCTTGTTACCTACCTCGATAGGGCGCACCAAGCAACTAAGTTTAACTTCTCGATTTTTCTTGTAGATTTTAATGTAATTGTCACTAATGGGATATAGTTCTTGTGTTTAGCGAATTGGCGATGCACTGGTTTAGTATGTAACTTTGTAAACATTTGTTCATTCATAATGTATTGGCTGTCCGGAGGCTTAAGACGCCTGCTTCTTGTTCTAGGGAGGGTGCTCGCTTTTCATTCACTTACACATCAGGGACATGCGCCTTATATTCTCCGATTATAAGTTTAAAATCAGTCTCCCTTGAGGAACGGTGATGATTAATGTTCAAAACTTCTCCGTGTGTAAAGTGGCCTTTGTGACTGTGTGAACTGTTGATGACGATGTTCACCATAATAGAATTCGTTTAGGAGCCAGATAGACTTCCATTGAATTGGATATGTTGCTCAACGTTCATATGTTTTATGCACCAATCATTAACACCTTGAAGTCAATCTCAAGTTCAATTTGAAGAGGTAACATGTTATTACGAAAAGTGTCTGTTCAAACATCCAATAGGTGAAAAGGCACAGATTTAGCGTTAGGTAGGTTACCATGGAACAATTAAAATTCCCTATAATCTAGTGTTCCGGTGATCCTGTACATGTTTTGGATCATTTTGCTTCTGAATGTTATACGAGTGTCAAGGTTTTTATAATAGATAATCCCATACTCAAAGGTAATCGTAGCTTCGATTAACAGCATTCAAATAACGCGATGTTTCGTCTCACGTATGAATATTTCCCTACACGACTAATCTACCGGCCTATAATTGTGGAGATTGAGTTACAGACCCTAAACGTCTTTCTTCAATAGATTTTCAAGTCTATTGTAGAAAAGTTTAAAGTCTATTAGAGTTTGGCCGATTGGGAGAACATCATGTTCTGGAAGACCGACTTTACATTTAATAAACATCGATTGTGATGAGATCCAATAGGTACACGTGGTTTTACCGTGCTAGAACACTTGATACTACCCACCGTTCGTTTACTCATTGTTTGCAATAATAATTCTCTATGGATCACGTGTCATCACACGAGATGGCTACAGCACGATATCAATGCAATATTGTTGCCTTCACTCAACTTATAGACACATAAAAGATGCTAATGGACCAAGAAAAAGACTAGAGAACAATGCTATAAAAAGAAATTTTATAGCCTATTTTCATAAAATATTGTTCTATTGTGATTTTATTAACACTCAGTTATTATGTTAGGTTCACAACCAAGTTAGATCATCAGCCTTTAACTGTCCCACCTATTTACCTCTAGACTACCCCAACTCTTTAATTTAGAGGTACTTACTGTAACGACGGCAGATAATCGATCTTAATCCTATATCTCTGGTTCAACTTATAGTTTTGAAAATAAAAAATAAAAATTTTTAGACTTCGCCCTGCCTGTGTCTTGATGACGTGATTGCGTTTACAATTATACAAGTTCACATACATATACATTACTAATTAATATTCACGCAGTTACAATGAAGATCAGTTAAGGATTTCGGTTGGTAATTATCGGATTATCTGTAAAAATGTCTCTTTTCCAATCTTGAACGCCAATTTGGCTTAACTATAAGACTGCGATATACAGAGTGTAAATGGAACGCGAAAAACGCCGATGATAAAAAACTATAAGTTTCGTTTTTATGATATTACTATCACTTACCTACTTACGTACGGAATTAAATGATTCTTTTGTTGAATACGGAATACCACCACGAAAACAAAATCGAATTAAATTGTAAAAATATATTTTTGTCAGCATTTTGGGAGCGTGTCGTTTACACCCTGTATAGCAGTGAAAGTCCTAGGTACCTAATGATTACCTAAGAGACGGTGTGATATTGTTTTGACGGTGACAAATAATCCAGTATTATGTCGAATATTAGTTCATCTTAAACGGCGTTTTATAGAAAAGTTGCATTTCAAAAATAAATTACGTATTTGATTACTTTACCTGGAGTATCGTCTTCTTGTTAAATGGATAGTTTTGTTCCATTGGACGCACGCAAATCCGAGACTCGAACAGACCTGGGAAGAACAAGACATTAATTTTATAGGGATGGTTATTATACTTAAACGCTTAAATAGGCAAATCTAAGACAATTAGACTGTCTTCATCCAGGTATCTTTTGGAACTATTAGAGATAGAATTTCAAGTTTCATTGATATTGGACATCATGTCATCATCATGAAAGCTCCATGTCAATTATTCTATCTTTTAGTAATAAGACCACCCAATAGGGCTGATGCCGATACGGAGCGCGGAGAACTTAACGGGTTGCCGGGGCTCCGGCTCGAAGGGCAGGAGTAGGAATGGGGTGGTTTTTAGTCAGTAAGAGTCTGACAATTCCTCCCGCCTCACCCAAGCGGGAGAAACCATTCGATGATTTTTCTCCATTAAAAAATAAATAAATCGATAGATATATATATATATATATATATATGTATTGTTAAGATTGGCCTTAAGTCTGTCGCGGTATGTGAAGGTAAATTAAAATAATGCTTGCATAGTGTCTATTGCTCATTCTTCAAGTATGTTTGTAATATCACGTTATGGTTTCGCCGACTCATCTCAAATTTGGCAATCGTTACTTATTTCTTTTTATTCTCGTTTCAATGCGGTACAAAGTCCACAAACCCACTTGAATTAATGCATTATGTTATGTGTAATTTATTATCTAAACAATTTATATGACATACAAAATATATAAAAGACTTGGATTTTTAAGTCAGGAACGTAATTGGAAAAACATATGGATTTAACTAGTGATAACTACGTCTAATATTTTGTGTACGATGTTTCTAATCCTTCGGGAAATACAAGGAGTGATGGTATGTATATGTTATTCAATGGCAGACGCAATATTTCAGTAATCTACAAGACGGCTATTTTTATTATTTAATCGTCATCCTTGTTCTGCAAAGCAAGCCATGAATCTACTACTCCTTACCACTGAAGATAGGATACCTTTTATGGGAGATGATCCAAACGAGCAGTAAGATCACCTGATCCTATGACCTGATGGTAAGCGACAAACGGCGTACAGGCTTACATGGACAACTTAAACACCAGAGGAGTAACCAGTGCGACCTAGGGAAAAGACATGGCTTCTAGTAAGACTTCATACCTCATTTGTGTCTCCAATATCATCGCTCGATGTCATGGTGCAACGTACTTCTTCATAGTACGCTGGTCGGTATTCGTATTCGTTGGTGTTCAACTTCTTTATTTTCCTCTCCAAATGACATATGGGGTAGTGTTTCTGAGAAAAATTGTATTATGTAAGTATTCTTTTTATTTTCAGCCATGATCGTCCCACTGCAAAGGCAAAGGGCAAAAGCCTCCCTACCCTCCTTCCACTCCTGTCTATGAAAAGCTTTTTGCGGCCAATCCTTTAGAAAAATTCTATGCATATAATAAAATCGTTATAGAGTAAGTAAACCGAGGGACATTTTTCGATAATTTATACATAACATTAAAAATATTGTAGTTATTTATCAAGAACTTGTTCATACTAGTTCCTAACTAAACTGCTCGTATCGTTATCAATAAAAAAAAGAATCATCAAAATCCGTCTACAAACGCCGGAGTAATCGCGTAACATACTATTCACACAAAAAAACATACAGCCGAATTCAGAACCTCCTCCTTTTTTTGGAAGTTGGTTATAAACCGACAAGAACTAGTTAACAAACCGGCAGAATATATACTGTGTTTAACGCCTAGCTATTTAAACATGGAATCTCAGAATAAAAACCATTCTTGGACATCCTGTTAATGAAACATGATTTTATTTGATACCTTCCTTAATTATAAGTATGTTAAATTAATATATTTATGTGGGAAACTTAATGTACATCCAAAAGGTGTTTTATATGAAATGATTTACATAAATATAATCGTATATCAGTACTGTGTCGTGTGAAGGTACAGAAGAACTGACTCCTCCCGCAGGTGTCGAAAGAGACTATCACTATTTTTACAGTAAATTCGATATTGAAAAGATGGTAGTCCTCTTCTTATGTATCGTAGGTCCAGACTCTAGCTGTGGCCTATCACGGGCTTTTTACGTGCCTAATGTGTGATGTAGGTACATACGTTCAGCCCTGCTAGTATAACCAGTAACCAGAGGCCTTATGAGTTTGTTTTACGTTTAAAGTAGGTAATCGTAAAGAGTTTGCGTTAGGCGCTCTGATTGGTTGGTTCATTGGCGCCGGCCAATCAGTGCGCCGAACGCGTACTCGTTTCCAATACTTTAAACGTAAAACCAACTCATACTAAGGCCTCAGACCTCATAGACATCAGACGTGATAGTAAGATATTTTTTATTTCCTCCAAAAGGTTTTCGGACTCAGACTTTTGAAAAAAGGTGCTAAACAACGAGTCGCAGTTTGGATGTTACACACACCTAATAATTCTTGATTGTGCCACAAATTATTTATCTGGGTCTGAATATGTCTACCACTAGATTTATTATGATAGTTTTGACAAGAAAGCATATTTACATTGATTTTTAAATGAATTAAAAAGAAATATTTGGACACTGCCAAATATTTTGTCTGCCTCGTTGGCCGAGTGGTCGCAATTGCGACTGCGCAGCAAGGGGTCTCGGTTCGATTCCCGGGTCGGGCAAAGTATTACTGGGTTTTTAAAACAATCTCAGTAGTAGCACGGAGTCTGGAACTGTGCCCGGTATATGGCAATAGGCTCACCCCCTATTACATGGGACTCATAACATAAATAGTGAAAAGTGGGTGTTATATTGTACAGTGGTATAATATGCACCTCTGCCTACCCCTTCGAGGATAAAAGGCGTGATGTTATGTATTTGGACACTGGAATCCGGATTAAGTTAGTGCTAATACTGCATTCAGTAAAATGAGATGATGCAACAGGTGTTAAGTCATACTATTTCTGATGCTAAACAATATACGACGTACTTTTGAAATCTTAAATCTGTGCTATGTTATTAAACGATCAATATTTGTACGCTTTATAATAGATCTGCATATCGAAACCTTAGATCCATTGCGATGTACCTAACCGATTCAAATATGACCTGAAATTGTGCCTGATTCTGTAGAATTTAGGATACCTACTAATCAGCTTGTTGTAGAAAGAAATATGCTGGAATTGGCGGGGTACTGTCGTGCTCCAAGACATATAGTACAATGGTTTATTAATTAGAATTACTCACTTGTGCTCCTAACTGCCTGAGCTCCCGTGAACCTTGAAGTGCCGCTGTGTATTCTGGTAAGAGCTGGAAATCAGATAAACATTAGAAAATGTCCCATTTTAATCAATTACCAGTTTACGTGGGATCTCTGAAATAATGGCCTGTTTAAATAAGTATTTTGTCTAATGTTCTGGATCCTACAACTAAAATATTTCAACTCCAAATAGGCTAAATCCGAGTTTCGCGCGAAGGTTGGAAATTCTTGCCAGTTTAAAGCCTCACTTCAACAGAATCATTAGGAAACAGCAGGAACTCTAAATGTGACTGAATTGGAAACTAAACAAAATCTAAATTATAAGTTACCTCGCTAGGATCTTCACAGTCAGCTTCGGCAACACGCTGCCTCAACAACTCCTGCTGTCGAGCCCTCTCAAGTCTTCCACGAGCTGAGTTCAATATCTTTTCAGGGTTCGGGATCCTTAGGACATGTTCTATGAATTCTCTAGCCGATTCTTCATTGGACGACGGGGAATTGTATGCCAGGCATAGAGTCACGCAGAGCGCCTAAAAGTAATCCAAAAATATGTTTATACAGTTATACTGGTTTATAGATAAATAAACAATTTGCCCTGGCTGGGGGTCTTAACTCCGAGGCTACTACAGGGATTTTTCCTGGTATGTAGTCAACAGAAAAGGTAAGCCACGTCAAATAATTAATATCAGCACCAGTCGAAGATTACAATATAGACATTGTTATGGAAAAAAACAAATAAGATTTCATTCTTTTTTCAGTCAAAAACCAAATAATAAACGATGTACGATGATACCTCTACAGGTAGCCCTATGTTTTTATCTTCCCATCCCATTGTATATGATAGTCATTTGTGCTATTATCATGCACTAAATAAAACATTGTTCCGAGTTTCCGACTATAGAACCGGAAAACATATACCTACACATATTTACTACTACATCATTCATTCAAACAGAAATATGGTAACTCCATACAAACGCTGCTAAATTGAATTATAGTCCAGTCGTCAGGGCATGTGGATACCCAACATATGAAATAGATGTCAGACTATTGGCTGGTAATTGAGGAACATCTTGAATCGATCTGTTTCAATTAGCTATTTAAAAGATATTTAAGTTTTAGTCACGAACTCGACAGATGTCGTGCAAAGCCGCATTAGGCGCTAGTTCAAATCAGAAACTTAAGCTATCATACTTACAAAATCATTCAAATTAATCTAGCAGTTAAGAAGTAGGTATGGTAATATGTACCTGTATGAAAATAGTCAAGAGAAACAATGCCTGTTTGTTAATAGATATCGATAAATCTCGAGAACAACTGAACTGATTTGGCTGACAATATAAGGATGAAAGGTGAAATTGCATTTTTATCGACAAATCCACAGGTACAGTTAGTGGTACCTGACTAATAAGTTATTGGACTTATATGCAATACAGTAATGTATGTACAAACATTTGAAAAATGCTATGTGTTTTGTGAAACTGATTCAATATATTTACGTGTGACGTTTTACGTAATGACATCGGCATTGTGTCTTGGGGTCAGTGTACCTTTGTATGCAAATACACAGATTCTTTTAAGTACTTTTCTGTGAGAAAATAAAACAATATGTCCGTAAGTTATGAGTTCTTTACAAAAACGACTGGTTTCCAAAGAAAACGATTAGTTTTATCTCATGTAACCCTATTACATGAGATAAAACTAATCTAAATTAATTTAAACTGTCAAACACCAAGCGGTCACCGGTGACCGCGACCTATTGTTCTTTAATTGTGTCTATAAAACCGGTACTCGACGAGTTAAATTAGTTTTATCTCATTATACTAAACTAAATTAATGACGGGTCGATAATATTATGCATGGGAACTGATGAAAATTTTGATATCGAATCATCTAAATATTGAGATTAAGCAGAGCTATTGAGATTAAGAAGAGAAGCAGGGTACTCATATTATGTGATAATAAAATTTTGTACCTATACTCTTTGTGAATATCAACAATCATCAACACACGGATACCTAACAGAAATGACCGATAATAACATGACAACTGCATAATGCGAACTGTTTTGAACCAACAGCAGCACCGGAACACATCATTGCAAATAACGGTTAATTAGTTTTAATGCGGGGTCAGATTCAGCTGTACTGGTATATGCCGTACATGCTGTGACGAGGATGACGTGTTAGCATCGAGGCAAATAGCTATTCAGCTGATTAGTCCCGAGCGACAAGCCCGCGCTCTGATTGGCAACCGTCCGTAGAGCTCAACTGCTACCACGCTGCAGGATCACAGGGGCTCTCAACATTGATGCCAGTTTTGTTGATTTTTTTTTATTATACATTTTAATCCTTGAAGGCTGAAGTAATACTTAACTACTGTTAATATAAGTTTTGTCTAAAGTCTCATGTTTTTGAAACGGATTGGCTTGTACTGGGCGCAACCGCAAAAGCTTACCACCGATGACCATTACCGAGCTATAGAACGACGACTTTTAATAGTCTATGCTACAGTAATGTATTGTATAGGGAAACATGGCAGTGCCAATGTCTTTCACAATATAGACGGAATGTAAATAAAAAAAACCCTACATTTAATGTTGTTAGGTACTTAAAATGTTTGAAAATGTAGGAACACCTTTTCCATACTAAACACTCGAGATTGAGGTGAGGTACAATTTATACTGCTAGTTACTAAATTCGAGATTCTAACATGTAATTTTAAAATGTAATTAGATTCTGCCTTCTTAGTAAACTGGTGAGCTCATGGGAATCTAACATAATAAATGTAAAGAATGGGTTACAAACATATTACTAGTCAAATTACCTGGCGATGGCAATATATTTCTTAGATGGTATCTGTTTACTACAATACCCTATTCAATTTCCTCACAAGAATATGTTTCTTTCTAAATATGAACCTCACTTTCTGAAGCCGGTTAGATAGTATCGTACTGCGTAGGAGAGAGTAAGATTGGCAAGCCCTGCGGTCACAACTTTGGCCCGTACTATACACTCGGCTCGCAATACGGTCAATGTAACATGCTATGATGATGGCACCTTGCAAGTGTTTCTGTTTTTTTATGCACAATACGTGTCTACGTGTGCACATACGTCAATGATTCTCCACAACCAGTGCGTTTAACAAGTGTTTATTTATTTGCAAAACGAATTGGCGCGCAATGTCAGCTGATATTGTTGACTTCTTATCACCACAGCTTGAAGGGTAAGCGACGTTTTTGTGATAAAACAATAGAACATTTTATTTTTTTTCTCATACAACTACATCATTGTTTTAAATAGGTAGTATTGAGTTATCGATCGTTTTGACCAAATACAAAACTAAAATAAACTTCAACCGGACACGTGTTCATTGTTTATTTATACGAATTTTATTTTTCATTGCGTACCTATATATTTTTGGACTATTAATATCCTAAGTAGTTCCTAGTCCTACCTTTGTATGTGATGATCATCGATGTACAACGTCATGTGGCCTTTACAACGGTCACACAATACATTTATTGTCGTATAAAAGATCGCTAGTTTTTAACACAATGAAATTGAATGTAACTCTGCTCCAATGAGGAGGGACTGCGGATCCTGCCAAATACGACAAAGCAAGGGGTACTAGAGCTACGTAAAATCTATATTTAGAACCTATTATCTTGCCGAACCTCATCTTAATCTTGAGTATGAAGTGTTGTGAAGTTTTGATACAAGTAAAATAAAATAAATTATAGAAATTTAATCGGTGGGTTAAATAAAGGATCAATCACAATAACAGTAAGGTAGGTTTTAAACGGATGTTTTGATGAGCTTAACATTTGTTTATCTTTAAGTCTTGGTAAGCTGTCTCAATGTGTGCTGAGCAAAGGAAGATGTACAGGATATAAACAACTTTGATAACATTTGTACAAACATTATATCTGTAATAATATCCTTAAATATATTCTTAAAATCTTATTGCGAATGTGATCAAGGAGTTTCGTTTATCTGATGTGGGCGATGCTGCGTTTTATTCATTACTCTGCTAGGCGTTTGTGGCTTACTGTGAGATTTGACCAGTTATTCAATAATTGAATAGCGAGGCGTAGGATCCAAAAATGTTTTCATTTAAAAAAAGTTATGACACAATATATCTAAACTTTAAAATTTTGAAAAAAAAGGTAGTTAGGTGCAAAACTAAGCGTTAAACTTTAGTTGGTTAAACAGATGACAATAGTTGCCAATACTTAAGCATAACTAAACGCGTATTAGAAATAAATAGAAATTTAATAATGTAACGGGTAGGGAAAAATTGTTACGTCTACGTGCATAATGTAAAATACCCACTTGACGCACTTTTTCCCGATAAGCAGTTCACGCTAAGATACGCTTATTTCATTAGAGGTGGCAATGTATTGCTTTCTTTCAATGATAACATTGACGTTTAGTGCTGCTTATAGTTATTGTTCGAACGTTATTTCCTAATTCCTATAAAGGTGTTAAATCGTGAATGGTGATTTAGTTATATGGTTTTGTTATTCAAGAGAACTGTTTATTGACATAATGTGGGATTACTGTGATACAAAGTGTGGACAAATGAAAGGATTGTTGAGACGGTAAATGCTGTTTTGTTTTTATTTTGTGTTTTTTGAAAGATTAAATAGTTTTCTTATCTTAATTTAGTAGTATTCTTTATTGAAATGATTCTCATTAAGTACATTATTTGTTAACTGCAAGCTCGATAACTTCATCAGTTTTCATTGAAGATATATTATTTACTAAAAACGTTAATATGGTACGTAAGTTAACGTTAGTGGTCAAACTTCGGCCGATCAAATATAATAAACATCTTGAATTTGTATATGAAATAGTGATTTTTACAATAGACTTAGTTATAGACTTTCTACACTAACCTAACCTAACTTTTCAGGTGGGTCAGACAAATCCGAGTCCATGACCTAGACACTTAATTTTATTATATTGTAGTGTTACCGCTATGTTTTACAGCATTCTTAGTTTTGAATATTTCAGTTAGAAAAAGGCAACTAAATTGTGACAAGATCATTGTAACCAGAGATGCGCCGAATAGTAGTTCTACCGAATAACCGAATACCGAATACTATTCGGTTCAATCTTTACCGAACCGAATATTCGGCCGAATTATTCGGTTTACCATTTCACTGCACTCCCGCATAAACAGGTTCAAACATGCACGCCACTTGTCGCCGCTGGCAGTTGCGAGCGAGTCGTACCTCGCCGCCCGCCACCCGCGCACACATTGCGCGTCACTTTGCTCTAAAACATTGCACGAGTAAGTTGTTAATAAATTAAAATATAAACTTTTTCGTGTTTGCAATATGAGTGGGCGTAAAAGATCACGTGCTTGGGACTTTTTTGACGAAATGGAAGATGACAAAACCAAAGTTAAGTGCACTTTGTGTAGTTCTGTTATTTCTCGCGGTGGAACAGGGCGCACTGCTTCAACGAGTGGAATGACAAATCATTTGAAGTTGAAGCATAAAGATCAATTGCCAGAAACATCGTCTACTTCTCTGAGCGCTCCTGAACATAGCTTTGACACTTTACCTACAACTTCGAGTGTAAAATCCAATAAACAACAAACTTTAGAGGAGGCTTTTGTTACGAAATGGGATATTAATGATTCTCGAGCAAAAGAAATTCATAATGCCATCGCTGAAATGATCGCAACCGACAATCAACCTATTTCGATTCTGGAAAACAAAGGCTTTGACAGATTATTGCATTTATTGAAGCCTAAATATAAGTTGCCTGGAAGAAAGTATATGAGTGAAGTGGTGATTCCGGCAATTTATGAGAGAGTTAAAAAGTTAATCAAAGATGAAATCTCAAAGGCCAATGCTGTTTCGATTACATCTGATATGTGGACTTGCATGAACAACATGCTTTGCTTTCTAAGCTTTACTGCACACTGGCTTAATGAGGATTTTATTCTTCAACACAGGGTTCTGCAAATGAAACATTTTGTTGGGTCCCATTCAGGTAATCAAATACGTTCTGTATTAGAAGAATTAGCTTCAACTTGGGGCATATCTTCGCTTATCCATATGATCGTGAGAGATAACGGTCCTAATATGGTAAAAGCCATAAAGGAAAGTGCATTTGAAGGCAAGGGTGTTTTATACATACATTGCAGTTGGCCATTAAAGCGGCATTAGAGGTTGAAAACGTAAGTGACGCTTTGATCTCCGCTCGAAGAATAGTAACACACTTCAACCACTCCAGCACGGCGCAACAAAAACTAAAAGATATCCAGAAAGAACTTCATCTAACTGAGCATCAGCTTGTCCAGGACGTCACAACTAGGTGGAACAGCACCTATTATATGTTGGAAAGAGTCGTTGAACAAAAACGTGCGATTTCGCTTTATATTTCTGACAATTCTGGCTCAGTTAACATTCGAAATTGTACTGAAAGACAGTGGCAGATTCTCAAAGAATGTTTAATTCTATTAAAACCTTTTGAAGAAATCACCAAAATTACAAGTTCTACATTTTCTACAATTTCAGAAGTGATTCCCCACAGTAACACTCTGATCAAATATTTAACAAAACCCGAAATTTCAGAAATATGTTCAAATATACCAGAAATGGTACAAAAACTACGAGAAGAAGTTCAGTGTCGTTTTAAAAATTTGGAAGAAGACAAATACTACTGCCTTTCAACATTATTGGATCCCCGATTTAGAACGAGATTTTTTGCCCAAGAAAATTATGAACTGGTGAGAAGAAAGCTTTTTCTAGAAGCGATACAAAGAAGCGACCTTGATGCGGAAAGCTCAAGCGATGATGAAGCTACAAACAGAGGAAGACCTCCACAAAATGTTTCAAATTTTTTAGAGGAATCTCATGTGACATTTTGGAATTGTTATGAAGAACTTGCCTCGACGAATCCTGTCATTTCGGAAGATCCTAAAAGCCCAATTGCCGTGGAATTGAACAATTATGAATCTGAAAGTTTACTACCAAGAAACCAGAGCCCTTTTGATTGGTGGGCAAAGCATAAGTCAAAATATGCACATTTAGCCAATTTAGCTAGAGTGTTTCTAAGTGCTCCTGGTAGTAGTGTTTACAGTGAACGATTATTTTCGGAAGCAGGGAACCTGTATGAAGAAAAACGAAATAGACTCTTACCGGAGAGGGCAGAGAGCTTGGTGTTTCTGCATCATAATTTACCTTTAATAAATTATAAATATTAGATATACCTATGAATATGTTCCTTTTTGCCTGTGTTCTATTTTACTTGTGATTTCTATTATTTTTAAGGTATTACTGTTACAGTCCCTATTATTGATTAATATTAATATTTTAATTTATAATAACTTGCCAAGTAAGTGTGTTTATTTAAATTTTAAAATGTTGATCTCAGTTTGAAAAATAAAAGTTTATATAGAGTTATAAAAATTTAAGTTTATATACAAAAAGATATAAGAATAGTTATGTTTAATAATAAATAGTGAAATGAATATTGAGCTACGGCTTAAAAATATATGTTGAGTTAAGTTTTAAAATGATTGTTAACTATTACTAATTACTATAGGTCAAGAAATAAATATGTTGACTTAATATGTTAAAATACATTTTAATAGCAAGTTTAATAATTGTTTTCATTTAGGTATTAGATTTTTATTATGCTCCTTTGCAAATTTTATGAACAAAATAAATCTTATATAAGAAGCTTGTCTTTCAGTTCTATTCCATGCCATGTATGATGTAGCCAATAAAATAGAAATACTCAAACCGAATATATTCGGCACTAAAACCGAATAATTCGGCCGAAAACGAATAGTGGCAAAAATGCCGAATATGCCGAATACCGAATACCAAACGAATATTCGGCGCATCTCTAATTGTAACAATCTATTGAAGTTTTTGGGATACGAATAGAGAAAAACTCATAAGATTTTGTTTTGTTATTCCTTGCATTCTGTATTCTGTAGGAAGCGATACATTAATTTGTAAAAACAAATGAAAATGCTAATTTATTGTGGCTCTGAGATAAACACTAGGAAATGAATGTCAATATGGGTCAATTCAATTGAATAAGTTATTTACCTACCTAGTAAATTACTACGTAGAATACCTAGATACTTATTATCGGTACAGCAATGAGAGCATGATTGATAATAGTGCTACCGTGTCTACTCATCGGCAGATCCCAGGTACCATCGCAGGAGTGTAGTTTTGATCTATTTTGGGCGTTTTTATTTCGAGAACCATAACAACCAATAAATTGATAAAGTACCTAGGTAGGTCTAAGGTCTAGAATTATTGTTACAATTTTTTTATTTTTACTATGCTATAAGGAATTTTGGAATTAAAAATTACAGTACCTAATGGTTTCCCAGGTTCTGTATACTTTAGATATTGTGCTGTTTTCAATCTTTCAATTAGATTTGCACTACAATTATTTTATTTTTTGTTTTATCTTTTTTTTTATTCTATGTAGTATTTTTTGTTATTTTAAGTTGTATATATTTATTCGTAATACTAAGTTGTTTAAGTGTATTATTATACATTTAACTAACAAAGCAAAAAAATATATTTTTTGTTTATATGTTCCATAGCACCCGTAAAGCGGAGATGCGTAGGAGTCAGCGTGGTACTTTCCACATGGAGCCGGTACCAGAAAACGAAGGTCTTTTCAAAGTCTCTCAAATTGGAGACAGGTACGTCCTCACCTCACTATCTCCATTATGTATTTATTACAGTCGAAGTTTATAACCGATCTATTTTAATCTAAAATGTCTTAATCGACAAACATAGCACCCCGGTTTTTGACAAAAAAGTCATACAAATATATCATAACATAACACCACGCCTCTTATCCCCAAACACGTAGGCATAGGTGCACATTACGGGACTTTTCACTATTTATGTTATGCATGTCCCATGTAATAGGGGGTGAGCCCATGGCCATATACCGGGCACAATTCCAGACTCCGTGCTAAGTAGGTACTACTGAGAATTATTTAAAAGTCCCAGTATGTAATATTTTGCCCGATCCGGAAATCAAACCCGAGACACCTTGCCAGTCGCACTTGCAACCACTCGGCCGATGAGGCAATCCATACAACTAATGACCAAAAATCGATAAATCTACAGATTTTGAATTGTATATTGCTCTTTGATGGTTTTTCTCCATTATTCACCATACGTCCGTTAAATGCTTGTTCCTGTTCTAAGGGTCACAGATAGCCAATTTGTTTTAATAAAAACAGTACCACTAACTGTTGTTTCGGGTCTGGGTACAGTGAATTGCTTTTCTAAATGTATCCATGTTAAGCACTTACGGAAGAAACTCCTAGACAATAGAAAACTATATCTTTTTATACAGTACCTATGATTGTTTTTTTTCGCGTCGTAATTTGCAACGGCACGACTGAATGTGGCTTGATTTATTTATGTGTTAAGTGACAGTAGATTAACAGTATAATTTAAAGTTCTTCTAAGAGAAATGTAGGGCTTATAATGATAATTTTGACTAGTTTAATTCAATTTCAAGCAGTATAGAGCTGCGTCGATAGGCGGCTTTGAAGTTGTACCCTTGTGAGGCTAAAATTATCTCGTTAGCATGATACTTGGCCCTGTCTCTGGACCTTAACCTGTCAGTTTTAATCATGAACAAGACGTTGGGACCCTCCATCCTATGGGTGATCTCGGTCAGGGTCTAACAAGCAATTTTGAAATTGCGGACCTTTGAATAAGACACAATGGCACACGGACCTGTTAGGATTGTAGGAATTTTGTACCTTTGCAGTCTGATGGACTTAGGCGAATTTGGGTACTACCTAACATGTATAAAACATTTGACTATCGCAAGCAAAATAGGGCAAGGCAAAGCGAAGAAAAATAATCAAAATAATTGATAAACAGTACAAATATTACCTTAATGATGAAATGCCTGACAGCCATCTTAAACTGGTGCTTTCCCCGGTTATTTTTATGATGGTGATTCACGACCAACAATCCACGGTTTTATGAATGATTTCCACAGTCTGAAACTCTTTTTATATCACGAATTATCTTTATCCAGTCCAACTGTCGAAGTGTTTTAATTAAAATGTTCTAGTTAATCTTTCCGATGAGAATAGTAAGGGTCACCATTTTTTGTGAGAGATAAATATATTTCGATGTCCATGAAGCTTTGTTGCATGATTCCATGTGAAAATTGGATTGAAAAATGGATTTTCATGTAGGTATTTTGCTGCAGGACAATGTGTATTATTTTTCATTAATTTAGTAGAGATGCAATCGATATTCTCTAATATAAATAAATGACGTTTTATTGTAGTTTGGAACGTTACTAACAATCATTTTATTATTGAGACATACTCGACTAATTACATGCCATTATTATTTCATATTTTGTATGTATCGTTTACATATTTGGCTCCATACAATTGATATTAGTTGGTTTGATTTCTAGATAATATTTGATTTATTTACTTATATTTGTACTATTACTGCTTAGTTCAAAAACAATATATTTCACACAGTCGGCTAAAAAGTATTATAAATATTTTTCTATCCACAATGTCCATCGTCCTATCCATATTTCCAAACGTTAACAAAAAATTTAATTTTCTATATTAGTCGACAGATTTAACAACAGAGAGATTAACACGAAGATAACACCGGGATACTCTCTGATAATTCCCGACAAATGACAATCATACTAAAATGTCAGACTGTGATAATAATAATATTAACACAATCTGCGTCATTAGCTAAATCAAACCAAATAAGCTAATATTTACGTAGATAGGAATTACCCTTTTTAGACGGTAAAAATGTTCAATTTTCTTAGAATTGTCATTTTATTAATGGAAGGAAAAAGGATGTTTTTCGGACAAATTCAATGTTTCAGGCTTTTTGTAGAATATTATTGTGGGCTTTGAACTTTCGCGGTGTTTTTAATATACTTAATCATGAACGAAAAAACTCTCTTCAATAGTTCCCAAACGCAATTTGCGTAGCTAACACCTAAGTATAGGTGTAGGTAATAACTGAAAATTTTCTTTTGAGAAAATCCTCGGTATCGATCTGTAACAATACTTAACACGCTAACCGCCGCGTAGGTTACCGGTGACCTACGTTAGCGGAGGATTGGCCTTCAGCAGTTTTCTGTCAGCAGTCAAAGGTTCACGTTAACCGCCGCGTAGGATGCCGGTGACCTACGTTAGCGGAGGATTTTTTTAATTGAGCCGACTGTAAACCAACACATGCGTACTGCCTTCAGAACGGGTCCGCTCAAACTGTTGTGGTTCTTTCCTCAAAAGACGACTACAGAAAGAACTTGCACGGTTCTCACTCATAATCTATTTTACATATTGTCTGGACTTTAAAAGAGACAGACCTCTGAGTTTGTTTCGGCATTTCTTCTCAGAGTAGTCAGTTAGGAAATGTCGACCTCATCGTTCGCTTGATAAAATTTACGTGTAAAAGTGCTGCCTTGTAGCCTATTTGTAGAAATAAATTCACTTGTTTCACTTGTTTGCCTTCAGCAGTTTTCTGTCAGCAGTCAAAGGTTCACGTTAACTGCCGCGTAGGTTGCCGGTGACCTACGTTAGTGGAGGATTGGCCTTCAGCAGTTTTCTGTTAGCAGTCAAAGGTTCACGTTAACCGCCGCGTAGGTTACCGGTGACCTACGTTAGCAGGGGATTTGCCTTCAGCAGTTTTCTGTCAGCAGTCAAAGGTTCACGTTAACCGCCGCGTCGGTTACCGGTGACCTACGTTAGTGGAGGATTTGCCTTCAGCAGTTTTCTGTCAGCAGTCAAAAGGTTCACGTTAACCGCCGCGTAGGTTACCGGTGACCTACGTTAGCGGAGGATTTGCCTTCAGCAGTTTTCTGTCGACAGTCAAAGGCTTAATCGATTAAGTAATATTTTTGACAAGGTTATCTTATTAAGTACCTATATCTTTTTCTTCATACGTTGCCTGATAAATGCATTAAGTTTTCTTCGTATGGCAGCTCTATAATGACTACATAAAATACCTAAGTACACAAATCTTTTATTTGTGTTTACAGAAAAATGACCAGCGACATCATTTCACCAGGAGCACAGGGAGTATTTAGACAGGTACCTACTCAACTACGCGCACATTATTAAGAATTAATATATATTACTGTTTTCCGGAAAACGTTGATATTGAAATGTAACATGACGTCATGAGTGTTTCCATTTACGTCAAAATTATCCGAAAATATCTTACGGCCTTTTATGATGGTAAAGAAAAATCTTCTTGTAAAGAGAAGTTTGCTTAGGGTTGCAATCCTAAATAAATTCACGGTTTTTATTTTACAAAAGGGCCCATAGATTACTTTATATTATAACTTAAAGGTACCTACAGATAATGTCTCGAGGGTCACGACCCCATTTAGCAATATTTAAATGTTATGAGATTCGAGTACCAGGAAGTACCTAACCCTATTGTCGTGTAAGACTTGTTTAGTACACTAGGTACAATTTTCCGACTTCAGTGTCAAAACCATGGAATGTATTGTATTCCCGATATTGGTATGTATCACTAGGTATAAATACCTACCTGTGATACCTACTTACTTATTTTACCTGATGTACCGATCCGATAGCAGTCTCGATCCCTCTTTACTCAGCCTTAAAATTAACCGTATTCTTACCTAAGTAAGTGAAATTAAAAGAGAAATTAGATTGTAGACATTTTTAATTAATTAATGTAGAGTGTCGTCTGTGTTACTCATTACTAGTCATTACTATTATGACAGTTACTACAATGCTTAGTACGGCTAGTTAATCATAAAATAAATGCCGTGCCTGCTCTTAGGCATTAGTGCCGACATCATATTTAGTTGCCAAATTAAAGCTGAACAAAATAATTTTTCAGCATCTTAATAGGTAATTATATTTATCAGTATTTATTAAGAACTGACCCGCAGCTATGCAGGCAGTCCTATTAAAAAAATTGTATATATTGACTAGGTGACACGTTTCGGGATCCTCACCCCATATCTTTCCACGGGTCGCCCGCCGGTATATAAACTCGGCTTGTAACGAAACCATAGCGCGATTCAGTATCGATACGATTTTTAACAACGCCATCTATCGAGCAATGGGTCAATGAAAATCCTAGAGGTGAATTTATTTTATGTAAAGATATGTGATCCCCATACCAGTATTAGGCTGCTAGAGGATTACTTTTTATCTGCTTATATTTTATAATTCGGTATTTAGTTTACTAACTAGATTAGTTTACTTACTAAGGAGCAAAATTAGATGAAAACGTAGGTCCTGTATTTTTTATTGAATTACCATAATAATAGTCCATTTTGTTATACTGTTAACCCAGTATTCTTAACCGTAAAATGATTATATAGTATAAGTAATCAATATAAATGTGATAGATTGAAGTTGAAACTAAAATTAATAAGAGTCTTGGTAAGTGGCATTCTATCGAATTTGCCTTTCCCCGTGAAATAAAGGCTTTTGTAGGTTTGTGTAATAAGCAAATATGTGAAATCATATTATTTTTGGATTGTGGTTTCCAAAGTAAGTGGTAGTGATAACTAATGTACAGGTTACAAAATATAGATTGTAGCGGGTTATACATATCACGTAGTAAAGTTCTTTCCGCGTATCAGATTGTCCGTTCAGTCCACGATCCCAAGATTAAAATATCGAGAAATCGCTGCTACGCACTACGGACTACGCGCTACGGACTACGCGCTACGGGCTACGCACTCCGAAAGTGTCATGTAAACCCTACCCGGGTTTCCCTAGTGGGATTAGTCTAAAAGTTTCAAGTTTTTGTTGTTTACATACCGCAATTTTCAACGACTCCTTGAAGTACTATCGACAACGTTGGCGGTCGACCATCATTGGGCATATTCGTATGCACTCTGCACTAGCGACCAAAGGGAAACCCGGTAGATAGTGAGTTTGCAGGAATTTCTTTAAAAGTATACTACCGTAAACTCATGGATTAGCAGTTTAATAGTAGTTTGAATCAGTCACGAAATCGAGGTATTTTAGATACTTAAGTATTTGCCTTCCTATCAAGAAAATTTAAAATATGAGAGCTAAATAAATAAATAAATCTACGACCAAGATAAAATCCAAAAAAATATACGTCTGGTATACCTATATTAATGCAAAACCAAGTTAAGAATGTTTAGAAATACGTCGAAACGCTTCGAATAAATAGTAGCTACAGGTATAGTGGCCTTGTGTTGCGCTTGGCTCGTATTGGTGGAGCACGGGAGAGTTAGATTCAGTCATCAATGGTCCTTAAGGCAGCCTTGTCTTCACTATTCATCTACAAATTCATATATATATATCCAAATATCTATTCATATACCAAAATAAAACAGAGAGAAATCCAGATTACAACCTCTGAACCGGTGCCCCTTCTAGCTGGGGGCCATGGTATTTTGTCGATTAGTCAGTAGTCTCCCTGAAGTTACGCTGCTGGTTCCTATCTATGTGGGCAAATTAGTAACATAACATTACGTCTTTTATCCTCGAAGTGATAGGCAGAGTTGCACATTATGACAATTAATGATTGCAACTGTACAATGTAACACCCACTTTTCACTATTCATGTTATGAGTCCCTTATAATAGGGGGCGAGTCTATTGCCATACACCGAACACTATTGCAGACTCCGTGCTACTACTGAGAATTATTTAAAAAACTCAATAATATTTTGCCCGACCCGGGAATCGAACCTGAGACCCCTTGCCCGACAGTCGCACTTGCAACCACTCGGCCAATGAGGCAGATTAGTTCTTAAAATAAATCTTCATAAGACTTGATAGACTTGTCTTCATAAGATGTAAGCATGAGACTGGCATTGTTAATAGAAAAATGGACCTATAAATCAGTTAGATAGATCGGATACAGTGCAACAACGAGCACCTATAAATTCACTCATAATCTAGATGTATTTCTATGACAGTTCAGCAGCTGTAGCCAAATGCCATTTAGCGCTTGTCTACATGTAGAATATAAAACCAAATTATAAGGAATTGACATAAATTTTGACACTTCTTAGTGTCATCCCCATACATTTTGATTTCTACTCTCTCTGTAGACAAGCGCTTAAGTGGCGTTTGGCTAAAGGCACAGAAATTACAACCGTATGGTCATGGTAGAATGGTAGGTAATAGGTAAACATGTATCACCACTACTACAGTGGTGGTGAGGTGTCGTAAGAAATGACTGAGAATGAACCTTACATTTAACGTAAATCGGCCGGTCTTCTGCTTTATCTCCAATCCAAAATAATCTGAAACCCTTCTACCATGCATGGGGGTGACATTTTATTTCCACATGTAAATGGCAGGTGCCTACGATACATACGCAATATTATTTGATTAGAGTACCTACCAGCCCATACATAGGTAGATTCTAACTAATATTTCCAACTAAATACAACTCTTCGATCACAATCTAGTAGGGTCTATACCTATCTAAATGTAGGCTAGTAAATAAGAAAGTAAGTAGGTACCTTACTATGAAGGTAGGTACTTGTATCTACCTACTTTGAGAACACATTAATTGTTTGTATACATTTCCACCGAGGCAAAGTCCAACTTGCCAATCATGCTGAGTCAATAACACGACGACACTTCAATTTATTCTCTCCATTTAATCGATCATAGATGATAAAATTTCATGTAGGTAGGTAGGTAGGTACCTAAGTTTCTGTTCTTCAGTTCTCTATTCTGCCTACTTAGCAATATTTTTATGTAGGTACCTTACTAAGTATAAGTAAGTACCTATTATTGTTTTACAATAAATGAGTACGAAGATCTAGGTAGAGCTGCATATAATTTATTGCAAAATACTCACAAAACTAAATAAATATGACACGCAAATTATTTATTTATTTTTTTATTCGGTTTTCATGTAGTATTTTATCAGACATCTTTATTTTATCTATTTCAACATTGTTACCTTTACTAACAATACCATGGTAAAAGGATTGGTGGGAAAACTTCTCATTTGTTTTAAAATTCAAAATTGAAATTCGTGCCATCTATTGAATAATTATGAGAATTATATACTATGGATGGCTATGAATGTATTGTGTATATAGTGCCGAAAAGTTTTAAATAGTAATAATAGATGACGCTACCGATTTCTATTTAAAAAATTCTTTATTTTGAAATCCAATAAATATATTGTGAATATTAAAGATAAATAAATGACCAACTTAATATTTATTCACTATAGCTTTCCTTATTTTGTATTCCTCAGAAATCATTCGGAGCGTGCGATCGTCAGAAAACCGCATTGTCGTCATATGCGCGAGCCGCGCGCTTGTCGATCGGAACAGCCGCGGCAGGAATCGGAAATTTATTCACTCGCAAAATGGCGACTGCTACTGCAAACAATTTGTGTCCATGGCCCAATAGTCAAGATGATTATGAATTACGAGATGTTATTGGTACGTTTTTTATTAAAACTCATATACTATTGCTAAATAATATTTTTTTCGAGTCTAATGTTTTGTATGTATTCATAAAAGCCGCAGTCAAGTTGATGATGGCTTATTTGGGTCTGTCTGTCAAATTCCATATGATCCAATGAATGTCAGTTTTTCTTCTATTTCTCTGATTTTGTCCAGGGTTTCAATGAATGACGTGCTTAGGGCTCCATTAAAAATAGATACGGCCACAGAGGTATGGTTCCAACTGCTGGTATCCATGAAGTCATGGTTTTCGTATCAAAATCTAATGTTATTACAGCAACTTGGATAGCCGCATTGAAGTGTTGTTGATTTTAGGTGTTGGGGCTACTGCTGTGGTGCATGCCGCCTTCTGTGTACCGCGCGGTGAGAAATGTGCCATAAAACGTATTAATTTAGAAAAATGGAATACATCCATGGACGAATTATTAAAGGAAATACAGGTACACGAGGGAAATGTTGTCTATTAAACAATGTTTAATGGATTTTTAATTACCTTAAATTGTTCTGCGTATTTGCTTACATGCCTATTTTTATTTTCAGGCTATGAGTAGCTGTAATCATGAAAATGTAGTAACATACTATACTAGTTTTGTAGTACATGACGAATTATGGCTGGTGCTGAGGCTCCTTGAAGGTGAACATATTCTCATGAATTTTTTATTACTTAATTTATGCTTAAGAACTCAATAGTATAAACAGTTGTGTCAGATTGTTTAATTGAATAATCAAACCGCTTGCTTGATAAAGTTCAAATACGAGGAAGTGTTTATTGAGTATATTTTTTACTTGATAGTCTACCTTGTTTACGAATAGAAATAAGATATTCTTTAAAAATATTTTCCACACATGTTCTTACACCATCTTAATTCAATAAATTTTGTTTACAATATGAATTAAAAACTGTTATGCCACACTTAATAAAATATTTACGGTAAATAGGTTTAGTCTTTGTTGGAAATGTTTCAGGAGGCAGTTTGCTTGATGTTATAAAACACAAGATGAAAGTGGCAAACTGCAAGCACGGCGTATTTGATGAAGCAACTATTGCTACAGTTCTCAAGGAAGTCCTCAGGGGGTTAGAGTATTTTCATAGTAATGGACAAATTCACAGGTACATTATAATTATTGATAGAAAAGCAAGGCTTTGCGTAAAAAAATATCTCTTAACATTATTACAAACTTGTGCTCTGAGCGTGCTGCCATTCTGCGACAAACAGTAAACCTAATATAATTTTAAATATATGTGCTGCAATTTTGTTTTTGTTTTATGTAGTTGTTAATATTTTTATACCTTAATATTTATTTGCTTAATTTATTATTTACATTTTCAAAACAATTTTATTTTTCTGGCTTGCTTACAGACAGTACACAATTGTTGTTATAAAAATAAACTTGTATTTTACTTTTGTTGCTCCGTTTTCCAATATCATTTGAATACCATGAAAAACTTAGGTTGCCATTGAAATATTCTGTTATTATATTTAAACTACATATTTTGCTGCTTTGTCAAATCTTGCAAAATTAATGCAGTATGCACAAAAATGTCTCAGTAAAGCGAAGGTTGAATATTAATATTATTATGACTAACATTTAAATTTTTCTGATCACATTTTTAATTGGATCACATGACCTACAAACCTTGGAAAGGAAATTGATGATTTATTAAAGTTAGACATTTCCTTAAATGAGACATAACTGTACTGTAGCAAGCGTCAAGCGAATTCTAACATCTATGCTAATAATAATTTGCTTTGCATTGCTGAAATATGAATCTTATGCATACATTTGATAATGTTGATAGTTAGTTGAGTATTTTTTCTCAGGGATATTAAGGCTGGAAATATATTGTTAGGGGAAGACGGGACTGTACAAATTGCTGATTTTGGTGTCTCTGCGTGGCTGGCCACTGGCAGAGACATGTCTAGGCAAAAAGTTAGACATACATTTGTGGGCACGCCATGCTGGATGGCCCCAGAAGTCATGGAACAAGTGAGATTTGTATGATTCTATCACTACTAATACCATTTTGTTATTTTTTGTTTACTAACACTCGTTTAGGCCTCAAAAGTAGATCACATCACTTTCCACTTTCCATCAGTAATAGAAATAATCATTCAATTAGATTGATACAACTTGTAAATATAACATCCTGATTGGTATTTCCTAAACAACCTGTGCAGTTATGTTACATGTCCTACTGTTTTAGGGACTTATAGCCATTTATGTTATGAGTTCCAAGGAGACGCCCCGCCTATTACCTTATACCAGACAATAACACTGCACTACTGCAGATTTAAATAGACAGACTGAGAATTTTTAAAATTGTGTAATTAAAATAACCCGAAATAAAATTGTATCTTTATTAAAAATAATAATAGTTTATTTACCATCAAACATACATAGATATAAATACATGATTGTTAATCTTAAATCTAAAGGACGTCATGTTTTACAGTTAAATTATATATTTGTATTACATAATTATAAATTAATTATTTATTTATGAGCCAGACGGCGGACAATTCTAATATGGCGGACAATTCTAAAATAGTAACAGAAAAACAGGAAATTTATCAGTGCATACACAAATCAAAATGCAAATTTTGACTTAGTCTTATCAAGTCTCGGGGCTAGGTTTTCTTTTTTTGTTTGGATTGAAATGACGTAAAGGCTATTATTACACCAGGATATAAAAATTACAGGACCATGGCTACGACTTTAAGGCAGACATTTGGTCTTTTGGAATAACTGCTATAGAAATGGCAACGGGCACAGCTCCATATCACAAGTATCCACCGATGAAAGTATTGATGCTAACGTTGCAGAATGACCCACCGAATTTGGATACTGGTAAGCTATTGAATTACATGCATGTTACATGTTAACTCAACACACATTTATTCATCATATATCTAGATAAATAAAAATGTATTTTAATCTTGAAATGTTCATGGAAGTCCAGGGAAGGTTTAAAAGAAGTGAAAAAAATTGTAGGCGGTATGAAGTTTACCGGGTCAGCAAGTAATATATAAAAATCAATTGTTTTTCCTTAGTCTCTGTTCACTAATACATTTTGAAGTGAATGAATTTAATGTATTATACTGCGCGAGTTTTCAAATTCCTAACTAGACTATCTATATGGTAAATTTGGAAAAGGTTATACTTAACCCGTTGAAATTCATTCCCTAAATATCACACAAAAGTTGTCTCTAAACATTGGAAATAAGGTCTATAATGTAGTTTGTGGAGAGCGGTCACCGGTGATCGCTTAGGGATATATGGGTTAACACTTAGAGTGCCATGTCAGTCACTGAGTAGAGGTTTGACTTTTATCATTTTAAACTTATCAGTTAGAGTTAACAGTGCTTCACACTCTTTATAAACTTGAGATTGGATTTGAGATCCTCTACAGCTGCACTTGAGAAGACTAGACCTAGTTATTAATTTGAAGTAATTCGACTCCAGTTCTGTATATGCATTAAGTGACAAATGTACTGGCAACTAATATAAAGTTGGTACTATAGAAATTTGAACCCAACATATCATATTAACTTGCTTTATTGAATTGTGACGCCTGATTGATTGCAATATGAGATATATCAAGCATTCTATACATGACATAATTATGAGTACGGTATAAACAGGTGTTATCCAAATTGGAGATCATTTATTTATGTCTAATCATAGTTTTATTTTAGTTTAAATGTTAATGTTATGTTTATGTTACAAGTAATGTCACACTCGTATCTAAAGTGTTCCTTGAAAATATCAGAAATACAAATGGACCACAAAGAGCCCATTGATTTCAATTGCTAATATCATCTGGAAAAGATTGTGACAATGTTTATGAAATATGTATGAAATGTGTTTACTGCTACATGTGTTTACAGCTTGATCTGAATTTTGTTCTGAATTAAATGAATTCTGCATAATACATAACAATTTGACATTTATTTGCCTTCCCCAGATCACCGTCACAGGACAATGTTGTTTACAATAACATTGTTACTAAAGTCTTTCTGTTGCATGAAACATTTATTTTAATTTGTGTTTTCCTCTATAGATTGTTGTTTTTATTTATAGGTGCAGACGAGAAGGAACAATACAAAGCATATGGGAAAACCTTTAGGAAAATGATTGTAGATTGCCTGCAAAAGGACCCATCGAAAAGGCCAACTGCAACGGAGTTACTAAAGCATCCATTCTTTAAGAAGGCAAAGGACAGAAAGTATTTAACGCAGACTCTAGTCGCTATTGGACCTAGTATGGAAACTAGGGTACATAAGGTATTACTACAAACCTACAATTTGGCCCCCGTGATAGACAAGTTCTGATAAACACTGTAAAGAATGTAAAGATTGTAATCAGCTCAATATATGCTAATGTTACACATGATATTTTAAATTTTACCCTGAATAATTAAAATATTTTACTAAACAACCCTGAATGAATAAATAATAAACTTAACTTCTATGTTAACAAATATTCCAGGCAAGCAAGCGTTCTACGGGTGCCTCTGGCAGGTTACACCGCACAGTGACTGGTGAATGGGTATGGAGTGAGGAAGAAGAGGAACAACCAGCTGCCGAAGCACCTGAATCTGATGAGGAGCCATCCTTGACTGATGACAAGCGACCAATGAACCAGTTACAGAAGGCTGACTCCAGCGGCAGTGACAATGAAGGCGAGGTGAGCAGAGATATAAATTGTTTACTGATATTAGAACAAAAACATGAGAAGTTATTACATACATACATGACCTTACGCCTGTTGCTAAGCCATGAATAATTACTCTAGAAGAATGCCAAAAAAAAACCCAGAGTCGATAAAAATCATTCATGGACTATGTAATAGACCATAAGTAAGAGGTCACATATACGTTATTCGTTTTGGACAAAACCATAACCGAATGAGTCAGCAGCGCAAAATATTACAATATTGTATCAACGCGTGAATAATTGATGTTTTATTTGGTTCTATGTTTATTACTAGATTAATGAAAGCGACGATGAATACAGATAAGGAATATATATGAGAACTGCAATCAAAAACCAAAGTCTATCAGATTTACCAAGATTATACGTAGATCATCATAGTCCGATGTGATTTTGTTTAGACAAACCAGTATAAAATAACTGTCAAATCTACGGAAAGATTATACAAAGCAAGACCGTGATGAATTAGTTACATATTTTTATTACTTGGTGTAGGGTTTCATGGAAAACAATGATTGAATTTGGGATGTGCTCTGTATACTCTACCACATTTAAATAACTAGATTTTGCCTGCGACTTCGTTCGCGTGGAATAGTGACTTTCTGCAGATTTTACCCACATAGTTCCCGATCTCGTGGGATTTTTGATAAGTTCCCGCTCTCGCGGGATTTTCGGGATAAAAATTATCCTATATCCTTTCTCAAGTTCCAAACTATGTCTGTACCAAATTTCACACAAATCGGTTCAGTAGTTTAGGCATGAAGAAAAGACAAACAGACAAAAAGACAGACAAAGTTTCTTTCTCATTTATAATATTGGTTTGGATTTTAATCGATTCTGAGTTTTAAGAATTGAAAACTGCTACAACCTGATAAAGGTCTGGAGTCGATCTGATGATGGAACCGAGAGCCAGTTGCGGGTCAACGGTTAACAGTAGCTACCTTGTGTTTGGGTTTGATTAATTTGTATTGATGAGGACTTTACACCTAGGTGGGGTGTAATTGTCAATACGATAGTTGAGGGAACTACTCAGCGGTTAACAGTAGCTACCGTGGGTTTGGGTTTGATTAATTTGTATTGATGAGGACTTTACACCTGGGTGGAGTGTAATTGTCAATAAGGGTCTGATGATGAAGTAGTACGATAGTTGAGGGAACTCCTTAACGGTTAACACTTTAACAGTAGCTATCTCGTGTTTGGGTTTGATTAATTCGTATTGATGAGGACTTTACACCCAGGTGGGGTGTAATTGTCAATACGATAGTTGAGGGAACTCCTCAACGGTTAACAGTAGCTGTCGTGTGTTTGGGTTTGATTAATTTGTATTGATGAGGACTTTACACCTGGGTGGAGTGTAATTGTCAATAAGGGTCTGATGATAAAGTAGTACGATAGTTGAGGGAACTCCTTGACGGTTAACAGTAGCTATCTAGTGTTTAAGTTTGATTAATTTGTATTGATGAAAACTTTACACTTAGCTGGGGTGTAATTGTCATTAAGGGTCTGATGCTGAAGTAGTAAGACAGATGAGGGAACTCCTCAACGGTTACCAGTAGCTATGTTGTGTTTGGTTTTGATAATTTGTATTGATAAGTACGTTACACCTAGAATTGATGGTCAAATGATGAAGTAGTAAGATAGCTAAGGGACTCCTCAAAGGTTAAGAGTAGCCACCTAGTGTTTGAACTTGAATAATTTGTATTCATTGAAACGTTGCATCCATATGGGTTGTGTATATTATAATATATCATAGTACTAAAATAAAAAGTATAAAATAAAATTAAAAAACTGCGTTTAAAAAAGCCGACTTCAAAAAGTAATGACAAACGAAACGTAAAAACTAAAAAGGAAAAACATAACTATTATTGGTCATACGTACTTATAGCTTACACACCCACTAATAGGTTAGTAGGAGGTGCCACAAATATTGTCTTTTTGATATCTATAGCCCATTCTCGCCTTTATTATTTCGTTTTTTAACCGTCCAATATCCAATATCCAGTTATCGGCAGTTACTTTTCTCCGGGCATACTGACACTATACTAGATGATTACTAGAAACGTAATTTTCAGGAACACCAAGCGAAGCCACCAAAGCAAACGCCGGCGCCTCCAGTCGTGGCGTCTCCGCCCGCGGCACCTCCGGCCGTGGCACCTCCGGCCGTCGCACCTCCAGCCCCGACGCCACCGGCCCCAGCTCCGGCACCGCCGCCGCCACCAGAAACTATACAGACTCCGTTCGCCTTGAAATCTGATGGAGAGCCTCCAATCGTGAACTTAGTGCTACGGTTAAGGTTAGTCTAAAACTCACATACTTATCATACCATGATATCACACTGACTGTCCCTCGAAAGGGCCGGGCAGATGCACTCAGGTTTTTGTAACACGCCGTTTTTGTCGGAAGAACTGAGAGGAAGTTATAGTTCACATTACTAGACGCCAGATCGGGGCAAAGATGATTTTTCAATTGTGTTCCCTTAGAACTATCTTCAAATACTTTCATTACAGGAACGCTCGCCGCGAACTGAATGACATACGTTTCGAGTACATAGTCGGCAAGGATACTGCAGAAGGCATTGCTATGGAGTTAGTAGGGGCTGGCCTGGTCGACCCTCACGACTCAGTTCCCATTTCCGTGAACCTGGCCAAATTACTCGATGCACAGGTGTTGCCTGGTACTACACACCCTAAAGCAGTTACATTCCATTTGGTAAGCATTATATTAGTCCTGTCTTAATTGGTAAATCGAAAATTAGCCACATTAGAATTATTACAATAGAAGAGATTTGACTGACTTTTCTGCGTGAAAAAGAAGTGCGCGCAACCTATCAGCCTGCCAGACTGGAGACCCAAATCGATAAAATAAATAATTTATTGTACATCGCAAATAATATAGGACATGTAGAAAAACAAAATATCAAACATAAATGAAAAAGACAACACAATAATGAGCTATTTAATAAACTTGAAATGTCTATTGGGTTCTCAGGGGCGTGAAATGGAGTTTGACACACGAATGACTGTAAAACTGTATATTTTCAATTAAAACTTTAAAGTAGACATAAATAAAGTTGCATAATATTACAAAACTCAAATATTTCGGTACGAATACGGAGCGCATGCGTCGCGGCTCCGGCGCGCAACTCGTTGTTCTGTTGTGTGACGCTCCTACGCAAGCGTCGAGTTGACAGTGGCGGGGAAGCGGGGGAAGAGGAATAGTGTTGTGGCCGGGTTGCCACAAGAAATGCGCGCGTGCGTCCGACACAAACCAAAATCGAATTGCCGCGTTATAGGTAGCTAATAGAAGTATGGAGAATATATCTGTAATACTTGATTGTTTTGATTTCAGAATTCGGCTGGACCCAACGAACAGTTCGATGACAAAGCACTGATAGGATTTGCGCAAATCTCAATTATTGATTAAGGACAGAAGCAGGGTTGAATTGAAATATTGTGTAAGAGGCAATTTGTTTGGTGGCCGGCGTCTAGCTATATGTACTTGTTTGTTTATGGTGCTAAAATGTGAAAGCTTCATAAAATTATGGTAATTTAATTTCCTTTATATTATTACGTTTTTATTGGCCATTTTTTTTCCATCGAGCCAAAGAATTTTAGTCCTTAAATCTTAATTATCGTTTTGGTGAGTAGCTGTAAGATTTATTTTTTGTTGTTTTGTTACTGCGTATGAGTTGCGTGTTCGTAAAGATAATATAAAATTGTTTTATTGATTTATAATTATTATTATTACTGAATGTATGAGTCGCCGTTTAGCCATGGATGTCCGTAATGTCTAGATGTTTTAGAGCTAGTAATTACTTTTACAAAACATATCTTCATGTGTTCCTTGCATTGTAGATTAGAGTCATCTGTCAGTATTTTATAATTTACCGAACAGTTTCACATTTTCCTAAACCAAGTGGACAATCAATTTTGTCTATTTTTATAGGTAAACAGAGGTTTACTTCTTTGTCTATTTAAATGTAATTGATGTACTACCATTACGGAATACTATACGTAATTAATTTTCTTATTCTTAGTATGACTTTATTGTATAGTAAATATACCCCGCGCTTTGCGTTAACTTCTATGTCAGTACTACAGTCCTCTTTGACTCTTATTAAGACGAATTAGGGAAGGGCCATAATTGACTGTCATTTTGTAATTATAAACCTAAAACTGACCACTTTAAATCTAAAATTGTCTAGCATTGCAATGCAATTTGTACTAGGTACATTCAATCTAATTGTAACTAATTTTGAATGTTGAATTTGGATCAAGACTTTTTACTGCAAGTAGTTGATATATTAAAATTATACAATTTATGGTATAATTTGTTCCTAAAGAATTATGAATGATGAAATTCTTACTATTTAAACATCTCATCTCATTAGTCCATGTTCCAATTCAGACAATATGACTATGATTGGTTAATGCGTTTAAATTATGAAAGAGCAATATGCTCATTGTATATACGGCCCTTTTTATGTAATATTTATATACCTACTTACATTATATTATATTTAGACATTTTTGTATTCCTTGAAATCATGATCTGATTATTTAAATAATAGTTTATGCTAAAAACTATTCGTTTTATATATTTTTTTAATCGCGTTTACATTCCTTCTTTGTTTCTATTGTTTTATACACTTAAATTATCGAACATGTTTGATATCATTATCAAAACTTTAAATATGTTGGAATTACAATATACCTGTTCTATATTACAAAGACTTGCTTGCTGTTATACACATTAAGTTCTTATGAAAACGACTTAACGACTTGAAACAATATCAGTATTATTACATATTGTTTAGGAGAGTTCCTATGTATTATGAATAGCATTATTCTTCCATAGCACTAAGAAACAGTCAAGCCACTGAATGTTTTTATCTTACTCAATACTTTATTGCTTTCCAGTAAATACAGGCGTTACTTAAAATAAAATACCAATTACACTTTATGTACTGTCAAGCACATTCTATATGAAAAAAGAGGCAGAACGGACGGATAGTTTACATCATAATATAAACTATCTTACCAATATTAAATAAGATTTATGAATATCATGCTTCTAAATTTTACTTATTCACTTACGTACATTATAACACTTTAATTATTCATCCATGCTATACCTAGTAGGACATATTTATTAGACATTTTGTTTTAGTAATTTTTATTTCCATATTTGTATAATAACTATATCAAGTAACTTATTATATATTTATTACCATGAGTAGACGTCTTGAATGATCGCGATGTCGGCAAATGAAGATTTTTTCTCTATTTGATAGTGAATTTGCAATGTGTATGTTCGCTTCTGTATTAAAATCAGGGTATTTGCGAACAAATTACATATTTCAATTTCATAGATCTACAAGCTAAAGTGAGTAATTTAGTACTATTAAACCATCTATCTGCTTTTTTATTATGCCATTGATTAGGTTACTTCAATCTCTGCGGGCAGAAATAAGGAGCCCTGCTGCGCGGGGCTCGATTGCCTTGGACTAGTTTAGCCTAGGCCAATACTATTTTAATACATACAAAAAAATATTTGGCACTAGACCTTATTCAAGAAACATTAACCATTCAGTTTGTCTCCAATCATTAAGTTGGTTTTAGCTTAAATTATACCCATTTAAAACACGCCACGACCATGTTTATTTACGCACAGCGGCGCCTTCCAAAGTTTCGCATTGAAATAACACTTAGTATTGTACACAAGCATCATTAAATATTTAAAGTACAGATAGTTCAATTTGTCATGTTTTCTAACAACTAATTCGAAATCAATATGAAACACGTATAATTTCTCATTTAAAATATTGACTAATTTATTTTATACATGACTAGCTTCGACCCGCGACACGCGCAATCCCGTTTTTCCTGCTCCCGTTCGTGAGTTTCGTTAAAAAATAAAACTATAAAGTTTTGGATAAAAAGATATCCTATGTTCGTCTCCTGGTTTTAAGACCCCACTAATTTTCATCCAAATCAATTTAACCGTTCTAGACTTATAAATAGTATAACTAACACGGCTTTCTTTTATATATATAAGGTATTAAAAACATTATGCTACAAACTCATTTGTCATCTCGTGCTTTTAGTTTTAATTTTCTGTTAATGGTAACATTATAAAATAATTTACAGCAAAGTGGATAAGCCGGGTAAAATCTACAAATAGTTTATAAAATACGAGATTTTTAGTATTATATTCTACGATCAATCTATTATTATGTAAAGGTTAGTTTCATATATTTTATTTTGTATGTAGATACAGGGTTTTAACATATTAGTTAAAATTATTTTATTACGTTAAGTTTGTTTTTGGGCATATTCGATATTATTTTCTAAATCATAGCAGAACAGGGGTTTCCAACCATTTCTTGGTCGAGGACAATTTTATAATTTATATTATTCTTGTTAGGTTAGGGATCAGGAAACCAATTACTTTTTTCATGTCGTCACACGTAAGATTTCATGGGATTCGTTCTTATAAGAATAGTGACTTGGATTATTGAAATCATTTGCTCCTCTCAGTAGTCTCCTTAGACAAGATTAATCCGAGTTTTACAGTCGTATTTATTGAACAGAGGTATTGCCTTCAGCAATTTCCTTTTGTTTCAAGACTCGTTATTTGTCTTCTACGGACGACCGGTTGGCAACCACTGTTGTAGAAAAATGTATCGTTGCTGAGAATGTGTAAACAGATAATTCTCAATGTCAACGATATTCATTTTTATACGTTTATTTTTTAGACTAGGATTCCCATATGTAAATTTATTTTCGAATATTACAAGTGATGCTTCGAAGAATATGTTGTTTAGTAGAAATAATGTATTTTGAATGGAATATTTTAATATAGCATTAAATCATGTATGGTTGGGCGTCAGAAATTTCAATATGTTACTCAAATGAGTATAATTATATTGTACCTAAATTGCCTACTCTCACTTCACACGCATGAAAAGTTAAAATCTGTGTTAAAATTTTGTGGCAAATATAGTGTTTATTAGCAGTAGAAAAGTATATTGTTAAATATACAGACCTTTTGTAATTTATAAACTACAACTTTTACCTTTGGTAAATAGTATGATGTAGTCTAAAAGTACACATATATAATACACACTGAGAGACTGCATTAAATACAAATACCTTTATTTCACGTCTGACAAGCACACATTGTTTGGACCTATTCCTACGTCAGTCAAGGATCACAGTTTTTAAATAAATTCTTAGATATAATCCTACAAGATCACCGATATTGGTATTGTGCTTTTGTATTCGTATTATTTATTATTGTTTCGATGTTATTCTGCATTTGACAGGTGGCGCTGTTGTAGTTTAAAGTCTGAAGATCCAATCTAACCGAGTAATGATACACTAAACGGTTTTAAATTGTCGTTTACTTCTGTGCTATCTTTTGAAACTAACAACATTTAGACTATTATTTTGCTATTTTTCTGACTATATGTAATGAAATTGAAAGCCACATCTGGGAAAAATAACCGACGTCTATTCAGTACACAATTATGTTCTTACTGCTAAATATTCATGACTATTTAAATTCATTGATTGAAATTGGTAGCGTATTTATATTTGAATATCCTACTTATTGTGTGTAAAATCTATAAATAAAATTCAATGTTTAAATATATAGTTTGCGAAACTTGATCATATGGCTATTTGATTATAATTATTGTACTAGTACATTGCATAAAATATACATATATGTAATTCTATTCCGCCACATAAGTCCTCCAAATACAGTATATTAATAAACTGTGTAATTTATTACTGGGAGGTTGTAATATTTTAGCAGACGATAATTAAAGAGAAACTAGTTGATTAATGGTATTTACGCTACAAAGTTTACGTAAATATTTTGCCACCAAATTCTGATAACACAATTTGTTTTGCAGAACTAAGAAAAATGTTATTTCAGCATATATTAGGGTAAACCCTAATATAGCTGATTTGTTCAATCTAAATTATCTTGTTTCCTACAAAAGTCGCTTACAGTGTCGAGTAGATATAAATTCCCTGTGCTGTGCCTTGCTATCTTCGCTTAGACTATAGATAAACCTGCCATACGTGAGTCATAAGGTCGTGACGAATACTATAATTAGATATTTGATGCAATGACGCAATCTCTACAGAATCCCTTAATTAGAGATCAATGTGAATCTTCATTGTCCAACGTAATTCTAATTTTTCGTAGTAAGATTCGATCCTTTGATATTACACATTTATAGTAGATATGATAAGTATTGTACACTAAAATTTTCATGCATTTTAGTGCAATTATATCGACCACGTCTATTACTATAATACTATGTGACTTATAATAGATCTTGCACGTGACACTTTTGTTATTGTAGTCGTATTTTTTTACATATCATTAGCGCGAAAAATTTACGATAG